CTTTATCAGACAGAAGACTGGGAAGGAGAGGGCGACACAACAGTGGGAAATAGATGCTTTTAGAAAAGTAGGTGTATCCCCAGAAATAGATTGATTTAAGGCTAACCAGATTCAGGCATAGGAACTCGGGTATCTAGGTCACTGAGATTTCCTGGAAAGATAAGTTTCTACTTTAAAAAAGCAAGCACATGTACATCCTAGTTTATCAGACAGAAGACTGGGAAGGAGAGGGCGACACAACAGTGGGAAATAGATGCTTTTAGAAAAGTAGGTGTATCCCCAGAAATAGATTGATTTAAGGCTAACCAGATTCAGGCATAGGAACTCGGGTATCTAGGTCACTGAGATTTCCTGGAAAGATAAGTTTCTACTTTAAAAAAGCAAGCACATGTACATCCTAGTGCTGTGTGACTATGGGGTTCTTTTGGTTCCATGGCAGAATCCAAAAAATTCTCAACAGATTGGCTAGGGATTGATCCAAAAATGATTTTTTTCCTTTTTTTCTCACTGAAACAAACAAAAACAAACAAAATTGGGGGTTGAACAAAGCTTCTCAAACCAAGGATTTTTCCTTCATTTTTTCCTTTTATGTTATGTTACCATGTGTTTAATCCCATTTAATTTTTTTTGTAATAAATCTAAATTTCCCAACCAAAACATCACAAGAACAAAAAAAATCAAACTTTCTGTTTCAAAATATTGAAATAAACTGTTAGTTTTCTATTCATCCAAAATCATTTAATAGAATCATAGAATCCTAGGGCTAGAAGAGACCTCAGGAGGCCGTCAAAACCAGCCCCTAGCTCCAAGCAGGACCAACCCCAACTAAATTATCCCAGTCAGGGTTTTGTCAAGCCGGGACTTAAGAACCTTTAGGGATGTAGATTCCACCACCTCCCTAGGTAACCCATTCCAGTGCTTCACCACCCTCCTAGTGAAATAGTTTTCCCTAATATCCAACCTAGACCTCCCCACACTGTAACTTGAGATCATTGTTCCTTGTTCTCCCATCCGTAACTACTGAGAACAGCCTCTCTCCATCCTCTCTGGAACCTCCCTTCAGGAAGTTGAAGGCTGCTATCAAATCCCCCTTCACTCTTTGCTTCTGCAGACTAAATAAGCCCAAATTCCTCAGCCTCTTCTCGTAGGTCATGTGCTCCAGTCCCCTAATAATTTTGGTTGCCCTCTGCTGGACACTCTCTAATGCATCCACATCCTTTCTATAGGGACATCCTTTCTATAATTTGCTGAATTTTGCCTGAATTTGTAACCAGTTTTGTGTATCCAAAAATACATTTTTTAGTGAATAAACAATATTTCCCCCCTAGCTCTAGCATGTATCCTTCAAACATAAAATAGGTAAGCTTCACTTCCATTCCCTGATTATTCCTTATTCATTGATTGCAGCCAGGCCTTATTCATTGGTGTATTTACCCTGTTTCTTTCTTTTCATCCTTTCTTCCCCCTGCCTCATTCCTATTCTATCTCCTCCCATCACAACAATCAGAGTCTCCCTACGTTCATATTCTGGACCACTAGTGCTGCAAGCCATGTGGACCCAATGAGCAAAATGAACCTTTGCTTCATTATGCTTTTCATCTATAGACATGGAGCCAGCATCGCTTTCCCCTCAAAACAAGCATTGTGCCAAGTAAATCAGTGTGGTGGGATAGTGTGCATGCCAGTAAATATATTCTGACTGTACCAGAAAAATTACATTATAATAGGAATATTGACCTATATTGGACATAACACTCCAAACTACATCTTATCTTTAAACTGAATATAGTTAGCATTATTCACATTTATTGTAAATATGTGATTTCTTTACACAAATAACCATTTATAAACTATATTTTACAACAGATTTAAATCTCTGAAGGTACAGAATCATATTTACTTTGAGACATTAAAAGAACACTGTCAACTATGTTTTTAAATAGAAAATGGTTTGGGTTTTTTTTTTTTGGTATGTCTATGGAATGATATATATTTCCAATTTGAAATTATTAATTTTTTCCTACTGTTCTTTTCAATTTTTAAAAAATTGTTTCTCTACCCAGTGGATTCTGGACTGAAGCTAAAATTAACATAGGTGGTTTTGTTTAACAATTTCAACTTGCTGTATAGCTATAAATTCGGAGCTCTGAATCCAAGGCTGGGGTCTATCTTCCACCCTTAGGATATGCCTACATAAGGGTATGTCTACACTTGCTCCTTAGTTTGAACTAGGGATGCAAATGTAGGCGACCAAAATTGCTAATGAAGCGGGGATTTAAATGAGGAGTAACGTTAATTCAAACCAAGGGGTTCGAAAACTAACGTGTCCTGGTGTGCACTTTCGCTTTCTTAACAGCTATTGAGCGGAGTAATGCACCGGCAAGATCATGCTAATGAAGCATGGGATATTTAAATCCCCGCTTCATTAGCAATTTTGGTCGCCTACATTTGCATCCCTAGTTCAAACTAGGGAGCAAGTGTAGACATACACTTACTTAGGAAAAACTTTCATGAATAGGAAAAATCAGTAGTAGTTATGCCAAATAAGCACAGAGGATCATATCAGTGTCAAGAATGTTAGCACAAGTATAGGAGTAGTGCTACTCCAATTTAAAATCTATCTGGAAGAGGTCAAATTTTAAGATTAGAAACCTTGACAGTGCTTGCCTTTAACATCCATATCTACTTTCTATTTTCTACCAAAGCCTAATATCTATCTCATACCAATTTTTTTTTAAATTACATTTTCTAAACTAGAAAGATAGAGGAATCTTCAACAAGAAGCACTCACAAAGCAAAATAAAATACAGTATAAATTATGTAAGATTGACTGTCCTGTTCTGGAGAACTATGTGTATTGTTCGAATACCCAAGCTCACACAAACACTGAACAATTAAGAGGATATTGGATTCCTTACATTAAAAAAACCACAGATAAAGCACACAATTCATGTCTCTTTCTAGTCTATAACATATTTATACACATATATGTATATTGGGAGAGAGAAATCTTTCCTTAATCTCCACATAAATCCATAGACATTTCTGGCATCTATCCAGTTCTTCAGTCCTTCCCTTTTATTGTTTTCTTTTCTCCATTTAATAATTTCTACTTTCATATCACAATGTGGTTGTGATATGCTTAAAATCTGGTATTGCAACAATTTACGTTTACTAAATTAATTTACGTTTAATATCTCAGGCCTGATTTTTCAAAAGGATTTCATCCCAGTATTCTTTGTATATGAACAAAGTTGTCACAAGCACCTATATGTGCAGATAATAGCATTTCCACACACTCAACTGGGCCGCTGTTAGAATGTGTCTCATGCATGCACTGGTGCTGAAAAGTATGTGCTCAGAAGAAAGCCACTTTCAAAAGTCAGGCCCTTAGACATTCCACTTGCTGTTTAAAGCTAAAATATGTAAAACTGTCACTACACTTATAATAGCTTCAAAAGCTGTCATAGGCTGCTGTCTAGAAGAAATGTATTTCATCTGCCTTTAAAGTTGCTAATGTTTATTTCTATTATTCACTTTTTAAAAAATATAAATAAATCTACTTTAAAAATGTCCTTGACCCATGGCTTTGGATCAGTAGCCTTTCCTTCTCTCCAGCAATGCTCTCTTTTTAACTGACTAGGAAGGCAAGAATTTCAAAGAGTGGTTAGCTCAGCTAAAATAAGGGTGACAAACAGTGTGATGAAAACAGCCAACAGATTATCAGGTTTTGATTTCATGGAATTGGTATTTAACCATAAAACATGCACATAGAAATCTGTAATCGGGACTGTTAAGGAACCCCAATCTGTTAGTTGAAGCAAAATGCAGGACAATGTAGCACTTTAAAGACTAACAAGATGGTTTATTAGATGATGAGCTTTCGTGGGCCAGACCCACTTCCTCAGATCAAATAGTGGAAGAAAGTAGTCACAACCATATATACCAAAGGATACAATTAAAAAAAATGAACAAATATGAAAAGGACAAATCACATTGCAGAACAGAAGGGGGATGCGGGGGGGGGGGGAAGGGGGAGGAAGGAAGGTAAGTGTCTGTGAATTGCTGATATTAAAGGTAGGGAGAGTGGGATGTTTGTGAGTTAATGGTATTACAGGTGATAATTGGGGAAACTGTCTTGGTAATGGGTGAGAAAGTTCAAAGTCTTGTTAAGTCCTTGGTGATAAGTGTCGAATTTTAACATGAATGACAGTTCAGAGGATTCCCTTTCAAGTGCAGATGTAAAAGGTCTTTGTAGCAGAATGCAGGTGGCTAAGTCATTTAGAGAGTGTCCTTTCTGGTTAAAGTGGCAAGAAACTGTTTTCTCTTTGTGATCTTGTCTGATATCTGTTTTGTGGGCATTAATCCTTTGGCAATCTGTTAGTGTGTTGGAAATGTTAAGAGAGACTCTGAATGGAATCTAAGAACTGCACTTTTGCATCAAAAGGGTGAGCCAAACTGTCAATGGAAAGGACCCCCACAATTTTTAGAATATTTGTAGGAGAGACTTTAATACAAATACACCATGCTGTAGGGCTGTTTGCAAAGTCCCTTACCTCCACAGAGCTAATAGCTCTTGTTTCTTTAGAAATGTAGGTGACATGAAGCATAGACCATCATAGTGTCCATAGACCAGATAGTTCCTAAGGCATTTCCTACCAGCTGCTTGCTTAATTGTGATGTTTACATCTCTTCAGAACTATGTCATGTTACCTATCAACCCTTATTTGTCTTTTCCAAGACCAATGATCAAGATGGGGCATGAATTTCTTTTGCCCATGTGTAGTCTCTCCTTTTCTGCAGTAATTCATGGGGGAGCAGATGCATTCATGTGTGTGTAAGAGTACCTGGAGAGAGACGCCCCTGTGGTCTTCCCCTCCTCCTCATCTCCAACCTCTCCTCTTGTTACTGGAAGCTTTTGCTTGGCACAGCAGGAGAAAGTGGCCAGAAAGCCCATGCGGAAGCGCTTGTTCATGAAGCAGTAGATGATGGGGTTCACGCAGGCGGAAGTGTAGGAGAGCAAATGAATAAAGGAGATTGGAGCTCCTGAGAGAAGCTGATCTGCTGATGCGGTGTCAAATGCACGCCAGGCATTTACACTGAAGATGGGAGTCCAGCAGAGGAAAAACAAAATCACAATCACCATCAACATGCGGATAACAAGCTTCTTGGCCATCAAGTTGGCTGCTGAGCTGGTACTTCTCACTCTGTCTACTTTGGTGCTGCTGCTGGCAGAAAGCTGTTGTAATGGCATTTTTCTCTTCTTTTTGGTTTTCTGCATGTAGCATCCATCTCCATCCTCATATTTGTTGCTGCTGGTGCTGGCTTTTCTTTCTGTATGTACAAATCAGCAGCACTCACATAAATATATAACACAGAACATTCAAAATACAATGTGATTCAAAATACAGATTAGTGGAATCTAAATTTTGACAAAATCCTTCATGGATGCTGAGCAACTACTGGTAAAAACTGTTCCAATTCTAAAGTGAATTTTGATTGTCATTTTTGTGACCATCTAGTGTTCGTTTTTCATGAACATCTAAATCTCTCTACTAGGCTGTGTCCAGACTCAGGGTTTTTTTCGAAAAAGTAGCCTTTTTTCGAAAAAACTTCACCTGCGTCTAGACTGCAGCCGCGTTCTTTCGAAATTAAATCGAAAGAATGCGGCTTTTCTTTCGACGACGGTAAACCTCATTTCACAAGGAAGAACGCCTTTTTTCGAAAGTGCTCTTTCGAAAAAAGGCGTTCTTGAATGCCAGCAGGGCTTTTTAGAAAGAGAGCATCCAGACTCACTCGCTGCTTTCTTTCGAAAAAGCGGCTTGCTTTTTCGAAAGTACTGCTTGCAGTCTAGACATAGCCCTATAGTGAAAATTGTCCAAAAAAAAAAAAAAAAGGAACATTAAGATTGAATGCTTAAATATCTGCTGGACCTAGTTTTTTAATTGTATTTTTGTAGGTTAAATTTACAGTTCCTGTCATATTGCATTATGGCAAAAATAATGTAATCTGTGACCAGAAATAATATCCACTTGGTTTATGTAACTAACACATTGGGAAATTACATATATCAGTCTCATTTCTTTGCAAATAATCTGTCAATAAAGGATTATTCACCGAAGAAATTTGCCAATAATTTGAATTAACATATACATAGAGTACTTTTGAAAACAAAAAAGAGGTGGCATTTCTAGAATTATTGACTCAGCTCTACTAATCACATCTTCAAAAATAAACTTAAAATAAAACACAAACAAATGCAAATATTCTGTTACCTCGTGATGATTTTCTTTGACTGATATCAAACTTTATTCCTCTGTATAGTTCCAATGATATTAAGCCATATGCAATCATCATTACAATCCCAGGTATAAGAAAGAGTATGAGTAGTAGGAAAATGTACCTGAGGAAGCCGCAAAAAGGACTGAAATTAGGGAACATCAGAAATACAGAGAAGCAGCTGTATATTTTAGTTTGTTGTTAAAAGATCTGGGTGAAATGTTTTAGGGCTTATGAGAGGTACTGTATTGGCAACTCGGGAAGCTGGAATCCTCCTTTTCTCCATAGAAATAGTACAATGGGAACAACAGTACAGCTGGCTTCTCCACACTGTCCACCCAAGGCGTCTCAGCCCTAGGGGGGACTAAAGGCTAAAAAGATACTTCAGTGTCTTTGTCTATTCAATACCCGTCCTCTGCTGAGACCAGAATTGTGGTGCTGTTGGTGGTGGTTTTATGATATAGAAACTTAGCCAGTACGAATTCAAATGAGCAGTTACCCATGTTTAAGTGAGATGCTGATATTGGCCATTAACTGTCAAGAGAAATTTTGGGTCCTGGTTCATCATGTTGGCTGGGTGTCTAGCTTCTCCCATTTTGCCTTATTACAGATGTTACAGACTTAGGGGAGAGGTCTGAGTTTGGGACCTGGTCAGAATGGTTTCACCTTTCATCCTCCCCATCAAACTGGATAATTACATACATGGAGTGCAATAGTGGCCTGCCCCTCCTGCACTGCCCCAGAGGAGCGTGTCCTTTAGAGGCAAGCAAGCACTAGGAAGGTGGTGCACTTCATTCCACTCCAGCCTCATACAGAATCTGAAGGAAAGATGGTTCTGCTTGGGCTGTTACTTTTTTGGGTTGAACCCATTCCATAGGAGAGATTCCACCTTAAGTAAAATCATTTAGTATTTGATTACACATTGCATATGTGCAAATATACCATATACGAAATACAAAATATAAGCAGTTTTCCTAATGGTACCCACAAGTATTTTGCTTTCAGGTATTTTATTAACAAATCAATCATATATGTTTGAGCTTAAACATTTTCTCCTTGCAGGAACATTGCTGCAAATTCATGGGAATTGCTCTGCATTTGTGCTGGTATAACTGAGCACAGAATTTGGCCTTTTAACTTTTCTCTTTGTACATCAAATAGTCTAATAGCACCTTAAACACTAACGAAATATGTAAATAGTATCATGAGCTTTCATGGGCACAACCTACTTCTTCAGATGAAAGGAGTGTTAGAAGTCCAGATCCAAAAATAAAAAAAGGGGAGGAGGAAGGGGGAAAAGGAAAAAAAGAAAAAAAAAAAAAAAGGAGGGGAGGAAGAAAAAAAGAGAGAAAGTGAGTAGATAAGCTTCAGCGGGGTAGCTGAGTTAGTCTGTAACAGGAAAAACTTAAAACACAACAAATAGTTTAGTAGCACCTTAAAGACTAAACAGTTACAAGAGGCTGACAGGAACCATCAAATGGATGTTTATATGGATTCACTATATATAGGTGGTGCAAACTAAAGACCTGTTCTGCCTCTCACTAAATACAGTAGCAAAAATCCTATATCTTTCCTGCACCAAATAAAGTGCTTGGTTACAGGCAAAAAGAAATATTAGCGCAGAATTACGGAGTAAAAAATGAGCTTGCTTTAATGCAATTCCTTGATTGTGTCCCTTTGTTGTTTCTGTGCCATTTATTCACTCCCCCTTGGTGTGGACTCTTCCCTAATAACCCACAGCCCCCTCTGTGCTAATCTCTCTAGATTACTAGATTTGCTCTGCTCTCAGGTACATTTGCTGCTTCTCCAATTTTTATGTCATCATATTTGTTCACAATTGAAATTACATCAAAGAAATGCAAAAAAAAAAAAAGAATCAGTCTTGGATTGTGAAGCTTTTAGAAAGATTGTTAAAATAAACAAATCCTCTGGACATACAAAAAATAAAACAGATGGAGCAATACTAACAAAAAGGCTCACTGCTGGAAGTCTGAGATGCCTTATTTTCAGCGGTAATGGTAGTTTCATAGACTACTGTTTGAGGATCACTGGCCTGTTATTTATATCACCCATATGGGAAGCAAAAATAAGTATTTTTAAAAACAAAAAAGCAGCAATTAAAAATAGAAATTCTTGTGACTTTTTAAACAAGCATACAAGAATTATAAACAATCACTAATGATTAATAATTGATTTTCAACAGGCTTAATGCTAGTATGTAATCCTATTTTCTGCCTGATAATTACAATATTAACAGTCGATTATATCTTACCAGGACTGCTGAGTGACATCGCTTGGCCAAAGGAAGCGACACATGTTAGCTGTGCTGTTATTCTGTTTTGTAAAAGGCACTAGTTTGCTGTAAATTGGGTATGGTGACATGATGGTAAAGGAGACACACCAAGTAGCAGCAATCACTTTCAAGGCATGAGATTTTGTCTGCCATACCCTGGACTGCAAGGGTTTGCAAATAGCACTGTACCTTTCTAAAGATATGGCAACCAGGTTGAACGTTGATACACTTACTGAAACACCTAAATGTAAAACAAAGAAATGGGTTCTTGTTTTAAAAGGCTGATGGTGCTTGTTGTAGATAAATATGTTAAGTTTTCATGCACATATGCAAAACAATGAAAATATAGCCTTATTATAGTATTTTAACAAATCAATAATTCAGTTAATAATGGTGGACTTGATTCACCATTGTGATGCTCCAGATTTATGCTTGTTTAATTACTGATGTGTATGAAAAATAATTGATGTTTTTTAACTTAGTTCCATCAAAGCAGGCAACTGCTATCAAATAAAGTACTTTGATCCCGATTCATCTCTATATTACTCCAGTTTTTACACTAGTAAACTTCACATAAACATAGCCAGGCACTTTGAAATCAGTGAAGTTACACTGGTGTGAATCTGGAGAAACAAAGCAGTAAATCAAGTATAATTATAGTTTTAATTTTTTAAAAGCCAGTGTCTTGTTTGATAATTTTATCAAACCAGGAAGTAATGTTAAGTAAAAAAAATGCAGTTATGTTTTCAGACTTTTGTCGAGTCACACTGGCTAAAAACTGGAGTCATTCAGTAGGAATTAAACTCATTTACTATAAAATGTTCATTAATTTCTCCTCCTTGCTATATACAGTACTGCAAATTTTCAATGCAATATGCGGTTTTGTTTTCACTGTGTACCTCTGTTATGTTTACTGTATGACTAGAAATATTCCTTATCCTTAAATTTACGTCATACAAAATGTTATGTTCTAAAATTACCTTTACTGGGTACATATTTTGACCAAAAATATAACATATGAATTTTTTTATTTTGGTTTACTTTGAAAAAAATTAGTGATTCATATTCACAATCTTCCTACACCTAAAATGACAGCTGAAGTACATGGGTGACATGATTATTTTCATTATAGTTCCACTGTTAACCCAGATAAAGCTATCTGGGGACAATTTGCCTTCTGATTCTTAAATAAAATTAATTCTATAATTACAAAACTTCATTAGAATATGTTCACTTTATATATGTATATACTTACATTGGAACACGAAAAATACAATGCTTTAGTAATTTTATGATGTTTATGTCAGTAATTTATTACTTATTTAAATACAACCTTTAGTATTATTGATTTATATCTAAGGAAAGATGTTGACTTCCCATTCCCACACTTTCAAAATGTATTTTCACATTACATCACTGTTTTCAAGGGCACTGGTTAAACAGAAATTCAGAGGTTCTTGTAATTAATTGCTGTCTCATTTTGAGATAGCATAAACCTTTCAGAATTCTCCCTTTTCTTTTTACATTTTTCAAAATTAAATCTATAAAGTTGAGACAGTATCACCTATCCAGATAATTTATAAATCAGTCTGTCCACAGAACCACTTTTATAATGGGAGGCAGATGAAGCCAAAGTGTATTGAAAGTGGTAGTGGTCTGTAAAATATGTCTCTTGAAAAATAGGATCATATGGCTCTATATTTGTTGCTCTAACTGATTCTTGGTCATTTCTCATCAGTTAACAAATAAAAAGCCATTTGTCCTGACAGCCATGCAAAACCCATGTGGGATTGCAAAATAAAAATGTTGGGGAATTTTTCCCCTTCTCATTTGTTAACAGCAGAGAAATTCTGTGGACCAAATTCTGCCATTGGTTACTTTTGTGCAATCTTGTATTTGCCCTGTAATTAGAATAATAATGATTTTGTTAATGATATGCAAGAAGGAATAAATCCAACTCCTCTCCAGGGCTTGACTGCAAGTTTCTGAGCTTGATCCAGCAAAAAGCTTAAGAATGTCTCTAATTTAAGTGTATGCTGAAGTGTTTTGTTGGATGAGACAAAAGAACTCAGCATATTGCAGGATTTTGTCCCCATGCTCTGACTCTGCAGCTCTAACAACAGTACTAACTTTTGTCATCAATGTGATCAGAGATGACTGCTTACAGCACACAGGGAGAATTTTTGCTAATTATAGGGACGACTCTTTTACTAATATCTTTTTACATGGATGCTGAAGGATGCTGGAGTTTGCTGTTACACCTCTTGATTTGAAGTGAATTTCATTATATGCAGGGTTTACAGTTTGGTTCAATGGCTCCCAGCACCCTCACTATAAAAATTGTTCCAACACGCATGTCTTTTTATAGCAATTTAAGTCAAACTTTAATGAAGAAAAAGGGTTTTATAGAATATGAGGGGTGGGGGGTTTCCATCTTCATGTGACTGGGCTACTTTTGTTCCTTAGTGCTGATCTTTCCAATATGGTGATCATGTCCAATCAGTCCTGTTTAGTAGGTGTTGAGAGTGTTTGACACCTCAAAGGATCTGTCCCTTCTTTAGTATCTCACAAACTTTACGGGTTATTTTTTAAAATAGGTATAAAATTCAGAGACTTACCCATGAAGTAGGTTGCAGTTTTACAAACAGCAATACCAAATATAAAATCCTTCAGCAAGTTGGGAATGAGGGTGAAAGGCATGCAGAAAAGGCAAAGCATTAGGTCGCTGACAGCCAGTGACAGCAAAAATATATTAGTGACGGTCCTCATCCTTTTGTTTCTTATCAACACTGTAATTACCAGTGTGTTCCCCAAGACACTGAGCAAAAATATCAATGAATATAGCAGAATCCGAACTGTCTGATGTAAATCTGAAAATTGTCACAGTGAAGAACCAGTTAAGAAATATGTAAATCATAAAACTAATTAACTTGTATCATTTTTATCCCTTAACCAAAAGGTGGAAACTGCTCATCATTCAAGTCAGTAGACCTGATTCTTATCTCACATATGCAATTCTACTGGAGTCCTGTCATTACACCAATCTAAAACTGGTGGAAATTAGAAATCATGGGGCTGATTCTGACGTTCCTGAACTGTTCTTTGAGAAATAAGAAATAAGAATTAGGACAATCTATATTATTTTAACACATGAGCATTTTTTTCTAGCAGCTACCTATAGCATTATAATTTCATGTCAATTATTTCCACATACTTCATTAGATCGGATAACTTAATTGTTACAGAATTATTTGAGAACAAAATAAAATTGCTTCATTAAACAATTAATAGTACCGTTTACATTCTATTCTAACTTCATATTGCTCACTAGATGTATTTATAAACTGGAAGACAGGATCTATGAAGTTCTTACTTGCCTTTTTATTATCCTGAGCAACAAATGGTTATTTTCACACTGCCTCACCAACAAACCTTGTGTACCTGTTTTTCTTGAAATATTCACCAGTCTGCCTTCAGGTGAAACTGGTGCTGTCTGAAAAAAAAACCCCTATTTTCCTGCACATACCTTTAGCAGGATGAGGTGAATCATCCAGACAGAAAAATGTATCATTTTCCATGACAATATCACACAGAAGAGCCGAAATATTGGTTCCATTCTCAAGTAGGCTATCAACTATTTCCATGCTTCAATCTCCACAGGTTAGCTTCTATGAGGCAAAAGGTGGATTTGTAATTATCTGCCCATTCTTTCTATGAGCAAAAAAATTCCTGAATGAAATCTGCAGTGGAAGGATTTGACAAGGGTGGTTTTTTGAGCAAGTCTTTTTTTCAGCTAGCCATAAGGAATATCCAGTACAAGGAATTCTGTTCAGAATGAAAAAGACTTATTCTAGTAGCCTATAAAGCAGTTTAGATGCATGAGAGAAAAACATGTACACACACGTCTTCTTCTGTACCTTGTAGATCCGCCCCCCTCCTATGACTGGGTTAGTGCTGGGTTTATAAACATACTAGATAGTGATTACAAAATTAACCCTTTGCAAGATTGTTTCAGCTCACACATCTACAATATCTCTCTATCAACTGAAGTGTAGGAGCATAAGCTTTCGTGGGCAAAGACCCACTTCGTCAGATGCATGTACTGCATCTGACGAAGTGGGTCTTTGCCCACGAAAGCTTATGCTCCTACACTTCAGTTGATAGAGAGATATTGTAGATGTGTGAGCTGAAACAATCTTGCAAACTCTATGTGGATCTCTTATTGCCATAGACAAATCATGAACAATAAATGATGTAATGAATTACGTTCCCAGCTAATGTTTAATGAGAAAATACAAAATTCCTGAACAAAAGGATGAAGAAAAGGAAAAACATAGTTCGGGCTTTGCTACATTTTCATTTCTTTATATAAAAACAATTAGTTTCTTTTAAGTTTGGAAAAAATGCAGTAACATCTTTAGGTACAAATAGAAGACTGGCTAAGTAAAAGATGGAGTAATTTATCACTAAGGTTTCTGTAAAATGGGGATAATGATAGTCCTATTCCTCTCGAAAGGACTATAGGGTTCTCATATGGAAAGCACTATCAGGGCCTGATCCAAAGCCCACTGAAGTCAGTGGTAAACTCTCCATCAACTTCAATAGGCTTTGGATCAGGCCCTATAATAAGTGAAATACAAATATTATTAGTTAATATAAGAAGGATCCTGTGGATTTTTCTGAGTTTGGTCTCATGCGAAAGTCTCACAAATCTGTTTCACTTGCATTATCTGTAATTGGATTACAATATCAACAACGAATAAACAACATCTAATTATGATAATGTTTTGCCCCAAACACTGTCCTCACTCTTCTATTTCCACAATGTCCGTAAACCCAAAGCTAGTGTAAGCCAAAGAAAAATGAATAGATATAATTCATTATAAGAAATTACTGAATAGTAATGGAATAAATTCATCCCTGCTATATCTCCATTGAAGTGAAATTTATTTTTAAAAAGGCAGAGCAATAATAGGATTATATCCGTCAGAACCCAATATGACAAAATCGCAGTGCCTGGGTTTATTTTCCTCCAACTTCTAATACACAGCTACATTATCTGGAATATATATGGAGGGAAGCATGTAGCAACACTGCAGATAATTTCTAAATCGCTCTCAGGTCTTAAAATGGTTTATTATGATCCTTTTCAATTTGTTGTACAAACTTCTATACATTTTCTAATTTGGGGTAATTTTTGATCACTGTTACAACATACTTCATGTAACCCCCATCAGAATGAAATAAGCTAAGTCCACTAGGCAACACTTCTTTCCTCTTTGCAGAAATGTCATATATAATACAAACCTATCTGTGACATTATGGCATTACAAATTCTGGGATTTATTTAATCTATAAATTTTACATGAGAGAAATAGCATTAAAATACAGTACAACTTAAAAACTACAGTACTTCCTTTTTCCTTTTTTGTTGCTATCAGTAAGTTCACCTTTAAATTCATTTTTTACATTATAAATCAGAGAGATGTTTGTGACGGCGCGTTGGGGGTTCCCCGTCTCCTGCACCCCGAAATGGCACAAACAGACTCCACCAGCCAGTGGAATTGAGGGTGGTTTATTGCTCCTCTAGGATACAGCATAGCACAGATGTAATCTGGTTACAGGAACTGGGGCTAAGAGGCCTCAGTGCTCCCCTTGAGATAGGGGAGTCCCAGCCCCCCTCCCCAGCTCCTTCTCCCCTGCTTTCCAGACAGGAACTAACTAACTCTCTTCCAGCCCTGCCCCCCAGCCAGGGCAGCATTCCACCTTCCTTTGTTCCTCTCCATGGGGGGTGTCTGGCCACTGGTTTGCATAGTGACTCATCCTGTTTTGCTGGGTCTTGGTACCCACGGCAGCCAGTGGGGGTTACCCCAGAGCCAGCAGCATAGAAACCAGCCAGGTACCCCCACTATGTCACAATGTTACTAACCAATCATTACGTGAAATGACAGACTGGCTGTTATTTAAATGTAGGAGTAAATTTTGAGTTATTTCAGTATTTACTGAACACTTTCATTGTCAATGTCAGAGGGACCAAGTCAGAGCTACCATTACAGTTGATTCTAGGCTCTGGAATATTTAAAGCGTTAGCTTGCAGATGTGCTGCCCCTTTAAATACAAGATGCACAAGAAACACTGTGATGGGGCGGTGACCAGCACGGCTGCACCCAGCACTCAAGCGAGCCCTGGGACCCAGGAGGGGGAATGCGCCGTGGGGCCGGACGATGCCAGCGAAGGCGCGCCAAAGCCTCCCGGCTGGGATGCAGCTGGGAGAAACGACCGTGGGCAGGACCGGCTCAAGTTGGTGCTGGGAGATGACGTCACCGGCGTCCCCCTGCAAGGGACGGGGGCACGACGCCCGGGGGACGCCGGCAAGGGGCAGAGCATGGACGCGGCGGCGGGAGATTCAAAAGGGGGCCTGGAAGGCTCCCAAGGGACGGAGATAGTGGGAGATCGTGGCCCGAGAGAGGGGAGCGAACCTGGTAAGGATTCCCAGAGGAAAGGGAATAGGCGAGGCACCTGCGGGAAGAAGCAGCCCAGGGCAGGGCCACGGAACCCGAGAGCAGAGGGTTTGGGGCAACGACCCCCTTCGCTGAGCGAGGTCGGACGACCTCGCCTTAGGGCCCTGGGATGGGGTTCGGAGCGAGGGTGGGCCCGGACCCTCTTCCCCCTACCAGAAACCAAACCCCACACCAGCTGAGCAATATAGGCATGGGGGAACGCCGGCCCCGTGCGGGCCGCGCATAGCGGGCTAAACCCCGGTCCCTGAGAAAAGGCCTCGGAGGGGAAGATGACTGGGGATAACTCGTGACAAACACTCTTTAGAAAAGATCACTGTGATGGATTGAATCACAGAGTTCCCTTTGAGCCTGTCACTTGATTGATTGATCATATCACTGAGCCTGCCTACCTGCCCTCTAGGGGGTGTATCTACACTGCATCCTTACCTTGAAATAAGTTTATTTTGAGCTAATTTTGAAATTGTTTATTTTGAAATTTGGTGCTGTCTACGCAGCACCAAATTTCAAAATAAAGGGCTATTCTGACAAGTCCCTTAACCCTGGTGGAACGATGGTTACAGGGACGTTATAATAGTGTGCCCATTATTTTGAAGTATATTTTGAAATAACAGGCATGTTTAAAGACACAGAATTGCTATTTCGGCATACATTTGGTATCCCGAAATAGGTCTGCTGTCTAGACGTAGCCTAGAATACCCACCACTCTGTCCTGCTGAGCCAGACCCTCTGGTTTCTCACAGCAAAGGCAGGGATATAAGTAACTACAAGTGATATCTGACAGATCCAAGTAAGCTACTGAGCTAAAAAAATACACCAGCTAAGCCCAATGCACTAAGAAAAGTTGTTGCAAATAATAATTTCTCACACTAGTTCTTATTTCAAGCGAAGTCTTTTTCAAGCCTGAGCTGTTCTTTCTGACCTGGATTCTGAAGCTTCTCTCCACTCCTGTCCTTTGCATTCTTTTATTTCCAGTGATAGAAATGTAGCCGTGTTAGTCTGGGGTAGTTGAAGCAAAATGCAGGACAATGTAGCACTTTAAAGACTAACAAGATGGTTTATTAGATGATGAGCTTTCGTGGGCCAGACCCACTTCCTCAGATCAAATAGTGGAAGAAAGTAGTCACAACCATATATACCAAAGGATACAATTAAAAAAAATGAACAAATATGAAAAGGACAAATCACATTGCAGAACAGAAGGGGGATGCGGGGGGGTGGGAAGGGGGAGGAAGGAAGGTAAGTGTCTGTGAATTGCTGATATTAAAGGTAGGGAGAGTGGGATGTTTCCAGGTGATTTCATGTATCTTCCCAGGGTGGAGAGCAGTTTTGAAGACAGCAGAAGACAATTGACTTAAGTAGTTTGATCAGGCCCCAATATCTTGAAATGTTATAGAAAATCACATACCATATGACACACATTGTACAGTATCAAAATAAATATAGGGACAATATATACCTCATGATACTGGGTTGGGGGACATAATGTAAAGGAGAAGACATGTAGCTACTGCATGAGTCTCCTCTGGGAGGAACTTCCAGCCCCCACCTCTCTGGGCCAGAGTAGTCAATCCTGCCTGGTTCTGGGGGCTGAGGAAGATCAAGCAGAAATCTGGAAGGGACTTGATTCCCCATGCCCTGGCCTGTATGTCACATACGCACAAACAATGTAGCGTGAGTGGATAATATAATAATTTAATATTGGTTTAAAGAGAAACACACACACCAGATCTATGTACCTTATGAGAAAAGAAAAGAAAAGAAAAGAAAAGAAAAGAAAAGAAAAGAAAAGAAAAGAAAAGACTTCTCTATAAAACTTTTGAGTGTCATAGTTATGTTTCCATTGCTTAGGAAAAACAATATTCTAAATATCTGTTTTCCAGTTGGATTTAGTTAATGGGCACTAGTTGTACTGGATTTAATTAATATACATCAGTGTGCACTAGTTGCAAATCGATTTTGTAAGTTTCAGGCAAGAATCATTGTTGAGTATCTCTATTCTTATTAACAACATAAAAAACTGTAATAATTGAAATATGTTTCTTCCTGGCCTGAGCTGTGTTAAGCTTAAAAATTTAGAGAAATATTATGACTTTGCAAATATTTTAAAGAAATAATACCTGTCATTTTTGCCCAAATCTATGAATGAATAGAATGTGCTATTAAAATAAAGATAATATATTATTAACCTTAATCCCTTTTCTCTCTAGATGATGTTATTCTAGTACAGCTGTTAAACATAGGAAACATTAATTTAATAGCAGAAATGATTGTTACAGTTATTATTTCATACCATATCAGTATTTTGGACCAGAAAATAAAGGGAACTATGTTTGTCTAACAAAAATTCACATCTGTTTATGCTTACCTAATATTTTTTCTTTAA